TTTTCTTTTTGTTAAGTAAGAATGACACTAATCATGTGGCATCTGTCGAAGCATTGGAGGACATTAAAAGGTTAACACAAGCAGAACTTATTACAACCGAACTATTTTTTAAGTAACGCAACGTGATAAGAGTAAATTGTAGAAGGCGTTAATTGTTACTAAATTGTTACAGAAAAACTGTATTCCATTGTTGTCGATACATTTTTATTGGCTGGAAAGTATGGTTTTTTTGATTTCTAAATTAAGAGCATAGAAGGATCGTTTTTATTACTATTAGAATAATGTAATTCTACGTTATATTTTAATTATTATTTTTTGGCGCAAATTACATTAATATACTATTATGAATTACGATTAAAGAGATTCGTTAAATGGTTTAGAACTTCACTTTCAGTTTCGTGCGCAAAGTGATGAAAATAAAAATTTTATTTTAAATACATCCGTCCATTTGGTAAGCAAAAATTTTAAATTACTGTTGTAAACTCACCAAATTTGTTATAAAAATAAACTTTTAAATTTAAATGTTATTTAAAAAAAATGATTACTTGGAAAAATGATCTGCGTTCACTTATAGATCTTAATACTAGTATCATAAGAGGAATATTTGGATATGCGAAGTGGAGACACAAGTGTTCATGTACATATATTTTTAGTTGAATAATTTCAACTGTTTTATGCCAAGAAATAGCAATTATTGAGCAGCAATCATCGGGGTCGGTGAGGGTCAGCAAACTAGTCATGGAAGAAGAAAAAGAAAAACCATTTTGCATCTATTATTCAGCAAGGTTATGAAGAGAATTACACACTTTCAATTTGCCTATCATTTCAAGTAAAATATACGTATCTACTCTCTCTCTCTCTGGTATATATATATATCAGGGGTCTGTCTAGGTTTTTTTTTAGTTGTACCCATTTTGTGAAAATGTAGACATAATTTGTGAAAGTTAAAAATTATATTAAAAAATCAACACAAAAATCTGAATTTATCATTTCTCAAGGGATACGAAAATAAAATTTTGAGAAAAAGTATTTTGTGGAAGTTTTTCCTAAAGTTGAATTTGTGAAGGCAACGCTAAACGGTAATAAATTTGACCTGGACAAACCCCTGTATACATATATATGTGGTGCCAGTTCCTGTACACTGAAAGCCGTAAGCTAGAAGTTAAGTCCCGCCAGTCAATGTAAGCCGCAAGCTGATCCCTGTACGCATGACTAGGACGCAATGGGAATTTCCCTAAGACATTAGAGAACTAATCGAAAAAGACGTATATGGACTCCAAAGAGGAGTTATGATTATGAAAGATCGTAACGACGAACTCTTACTCATTAATTTTTTTATGTTATTTATGTGATTGTTAATCGTCTGTATTTATGTAAATTTCTTTTCAATATATGTTTTTGTTAAAGATCAGTGCCTCTTTTTATTTTCAAAGACGACCACTCTTGCTATCCCCACAAATATATATATATATAACAGTCGGACTTCTCTTTAGCGAACTTCCATTTTGCAAATTTCTCTATTTTACGAATTTTTTTGAGGAACCAAGAACATTTTGGAAATTTCTGTGTAAAATAACTTCCAAATAGTGCAGTGAATTTTCTATTTAATGAACTTTTCATTGAGATCTACTTTCCCTATTTTCCGAAATATTTCTTAACATTTCAAATTTGTTAATGCATTTTATGGGGGAAATGACCTTGAATTAATTTTCTAAGCTGTTGCTTTATGTAATGTATTACTGTTTTCTCTAAAAATTATCTTAGAGAAAGCAGTAAATTCCCTTTCCCTTTTTGTTTGTATTTCAAACGAAAAACTCAGTTCAAATTAACGAATTTTATCCGTAGCAATTAAACTTAAGAACGCATGTGGTAATGTATGTTTAAAATTACTTTTATAATAAATGCAACTATAATTTTATACATAAATTCTGATTTTTTATACTTTTATGCTTTTTTTAGTTGAAAATGTGTATAGCATGATAGTGCAACACTGTATAATGTTTTGCTATATTCTTGCTTTCCATGCAAATTTCTTTTGTGGTTAGGATTTATGAAATAAATAGTAGATACTAGTTTACAAGATAAAAGTGCATCAATTGCTATTTAAATTATGTCTAGTGTTTATGAATTTAAAACCTGTTTTGTGTTGCTTAAGTATTTTAAAAGGTGATTTTCTATTTAACGAACTTATTATCTGGATTTAGCAACTTCATTAAATAGAGGTCCGACTGTATATGTGTATATATACATGTATATATTTATTTATTTAAATTTATTTTTAGTATTAAAATTTAAAAATTTTGATTGAAAGTAGTAGTCTTCACATTTCTAGATGCCTGCACAATAAAACATTATTCAAATGAAACATATAGAATTAGAAAGTAAGATTTATTTAAACATCTTAAGAGGATTTTTGAGCAATGCCTTTAATCTCCTCATTTCTAAGTGCCACAGTTGTGTAGGTATAATGTAAAATTAAACTATATTAAAACGGACAAAAAATAGTGACAAATGTTAAGTTGTTAGGAACAAAATTTGTAACAACAAATTTTTTTATTTATTTCTTTAATATTAGGTAAGTTCTTTAATATTATTTTAAGTTATTCGTTATCCTAGGTGCATTGCAAAGTCGTGACGGTTCTGATTGTTTTACTTCTTTTTAAAATATATCTATTATTCAATAAAATAAAGGATTTAATGCTGGAAGAAGGTGGTGAATAGTTTTAATAGCTTAAATAAACTTTTTTAAAAATATTAGTGATTTAAAAAGGTTCAATATCCTTTTTGTGTTTACATTTCATTCTTTTTCATTTAAAAAATAATAATTTATAAATTTAAGGACTACTCTGATTTTATTTGATTTTAATCTATGCAATTTTAAAATTTACTATTAAATTTGACTCTAAATTGTGTAAATATAAACACAGATCTGTGTAATTGTGTTTGACTCTAATAAAAAAATTTGTTAAAGCAAATCGTGCTATTTTTTTTTACTCAGTTTTAAAGTATCATTATTACTATTTTTTTAGCAAATTGAACTCATGTCATATTATGAATAAACAATTATCTTATGCAATAATTTGTGATTTTAACACATAGCTTAAAAATGTAGCATTATGATAAAGTTGTGCATATTCTCATGTTTCCTATGCCTTAACATTTGTACTAAACAGCTGTAATAAAAGTTTCTAACTTAGCCATGGAGAACAATTGCAAAATGTTATAATCTCATATTCCTTAATAATTACTGTAGATTCTAGGAATAATTTCCTTACGTAGATTTCAGTACAAAAAGATAAAGCTTTTGGGAGCATATTACCTGAGCATTTTATTATTTCCCTCTTAACTTAGCCAAGTATCACAACCTGCTTCTTTTATTTTTAAAAACATCCTTAGTTTAATTGTGCAGGAGGAAAAGCGTAAGTGTAAATATTCTAGGCGATGAATTTTGAACCAAACCTACTTCAGAATATGGAAATGGGAGAGTGGAAAATTGTGCTGCCTTGTTCAACTTGATGGTACGTTATACTTTAAAGAAGAAGAAATAAGGAGAAGAAAAGGAAAAACCAAGCATGTTGTTGAAAAAGAGGAAAAAAACATCTAAATCAACTTAGCTTTACAAAAATATTAAAGGTTCAATAATCAGTAATAGAAGTTTTATATGAGTTGTTTGTTTCTCTTTCTCTCTCTTTTTTAAAAAAAAAAATGAAGTTTAATTTGATTAACATGGTTTTATTTATCTGAACTGTTCAACATCAGATTATGGAGATGGGAGAGTGGAAAGTTTTACTTCATTCTTCAACATGACAAAACACATTAATCTTTATTGTAAAAAGAAGTAAATAAGAAAAATGAAAAACTAAACATGTAATAAAAAAAGAAAAGAAAAATCTCCTGAATCAACTTAGCTTTACAAAAATAAAGGTACACAAAATCAGTGATTGAAGTTCTACTGTATCGGTTGTTTATTTTTCTCTTTTTTTCAAAAAAATGTTTATTTTTATCAGCAGGGTTTTATTTATCTGAACTGAATCGACATCAGATTACAGAGATGGGAAAGTGGAAAGTTGTGCTTCATTATTCAACATGACAAAGCACATTAATCTTTATAAAAAGGAGGAAATAAGTAGAAGAAAAGGAGAAACTAAATGTGTAATAGAAAAGAAGAAAACTTCTGAATCAACTTTGCTTTACAAAAATATTGAAGGTACAAATAATCAGTAATTAAAGTTCTACTGTATCAGTTGTTTGCTCTCTCTCTCTCTTTTTTTTTTTTTTTTTGGAAAAATGTTTATTTTTATTAATTTGGTTTTATTTATTTGAACTGAGGGAGAGTGGAAACTTATGCTACATTATTCAACATAAACAGCACATTAATTTTTAATATTAAGAGGAGGAAATATGGAGAAGAAAAGGAAAAACAAAGCATGTAGTAAAAAAAGAAGAAGAAAAAAAACTTCTGAATCAACTTATATTTGCGTACAAAAATTAAAGTTCAAATAATCAGTAATTTAAGTTTGTTTTTCTCTTTTTCTTAAAAAAATTTTTTTATTTCTATTTACATGGTTTTATTTATTTGTAGGGATCTGAATATGCGTATAGAGAAGAATGGGGTGAAGATCTCGTTGGTAGTCATCATTCTGTAGCCATAATCTTAGACTTGAAAACTGCTACTACAGAAATTATATCATCAGACAAATTATATAATGAGCTTAGCATTGGAGAGGTAAATTTATAACTTCTAATCAATTAATTTATATCTAAAGTTGTCATTTAACCGAGAAGCAGTCATGTTTTCTTTTCAACGTGTTAACAGTAGTTTAATTCTAGTAACTGACTATAATATATTTTAAATCTAAAATTTTAATTGTATAAGACGTGCAACAATATTTCTAGTTATATTCTATAGGTATAATATGAACCAAGCTTTGTTACAATGTTTCCAATAGAACTCTTAATAGAACATACATGTTTGCTAATTCGATTTTTAAGAACCAGTACATATGTATTGGTACATACCAATTGAATTCTATCACTGGTTATATAATTCTTCCTTTTTATTATTTTTTTATAAATAACACATACTCTTGATTGCAATGGATAAAATTTTTTTAACTTTCATTTATACAAATTCTTGATACTTGAATTTGGGATTGGGGATTTCAAAACTGAAATTAGTTTTGCTCTTTTTGTTGAAATGTGCAAGCTTAAAAACCTTATATGTAAAACAGGAGTCATAAAAATACTGCGACAAACTTCTACAAGAGTTAAGGCACATCGCCAGGATTAAAATTGCACAAGAACTTATTCCCGGAAATGTCATTGTATGCGGCTAGGGTGTTTCTCTATTCTCTGACCTGTTCAAAAGCATAGGAAGAAACAGATTATAATAGGGAAGCTCCCATAACAGAATTACGACATTTCTGGACGATTATACGACCTGTACGATTTTAATCCTGATTATCTGCCCCAACTCCTAAGACATTACATGTCACAACATTTACATTACCATTTGTTAAATATAGTGTTTTTAAACTTGTACATTTCGACAAAAAAATAGACTAAAAATATCTTCTTTTTTTTTTATTAAAAAAAATGCAGTTTGGAAGGAAAAATTGAGTGCATATTTGAAATCAGTGCCTTGAAAAATATCTAGGATCCATTAAAGAATCTCATACAACAGAAAATGAAAAAAAAATTTTTTTCTCAGGTGTTATCTATGTATGAATAGACCATTCTGACTTAGTGAAAAATTAAACATACGAAGAAAAAAAATATTTACAAAGTCTGAAAACAAATATGGGTCTGATGTAAATTTTTTTTTTTTTACTGTGCTGCTACATTAGAATGAGTATGGTTGCTGATACCAGTTGAAGGATCTCTCATATGTACAGTTGGATCCCATTGTTGGTCAAGTGATCTCATAATTTCAGTAAACTGTTTTTTTTTTTTTTTTCCTCAACCCCTATTTCTCTATAATATACTAGATGCAATGCTCTTCTGATTATCTGTGTGTGAGTTGCCCCTGAGTAATTTTGGCTAAAATTTAAGGAAAATTAAATGTAAGGAAAAAACTATAAAAAATAAAAAAGAAATATGGGTTTAATATGAGCTTTGTTTTGTTACAATGCTGGCATTCAAAATGATTAAGTGATTTGCATTTTAATGAGACAAAATAATTGCACAATGCGGGAATGTAACATTTTTATATATATATATATACTTTTCGTGCAATTAACTCAGTAAATCTGGAGTTTCTTTTCTTCTTTTTTTTAAAGAAAGTTGGTAAAATTTTGTTTTTATAATAGTTTTTTTAAATCATTTTCAATTAATTTATGAACTGACTAATTTTCATCTGTCCAAGTTTGCAAAGAATTTCATTCTCCTTACATAGCTAAAAACTTTATCATTGAATAAAACACAGAAAAACTAGAACTTTTTGTAGGAAAAATAACAGGTAAAATGATTTTGAGTAATTGCACGTTTCATTATGGAATATTGCTATATTCTTTTTCAGCAGATATTTTCTTAAAATAGTTAATCTTAATAATAATTTACATTATATAGGCAATTTGGGGGCCTGGTGATGAAACTGTCATTTTTGTCGGCTATAAAGAATTTCCCAGGAGACTAGGTCTTCGATCTTGTACAAACCGCAGGTAAGCATATATATCCTTTCCATCTTATAAATAGCTTTGAATAAGGTATTCTAAACTGTACATTTTATTAAAAATTTATTATATTTACTTCTTAAACACTTTAAGTAATAGGTTTATAATAAGCTTACACATAATTGTATTAATTTATGGAATATTAATTATAAATATGTATATTTGCATTGATTTAGGAGTTGAAGTAAGTTAAACCGATTCTTAGTTATTATGCATTCATCAGTTGTATAATATTACATTGTGAAAGCTTTTTCAAATGCTGCTTTCTATATTTTTAACAAAAAAAATTTTTTAAACTAAAAATTTTATATTCTATACTCATACACTTTAGGCTTCTGGTAGAATTCTCTCTTATTATTTAATCTACATGTATTAAATCAAAATTTTGAAAAAATTTTACTTTTTATAATTTTTTTATTTCCATATTTTAGCTCAGCTATTTACGTTTATAATCGTCAAACTAAAGAAATAGGTAAGTTTGTCTTCTATGAACTTTCCTTTTTAACATTAATAATTTTATGTCTATTCATTATCAAAGACATTTTAATTCTCTTTATTTGGTTTATTATCTTATTCTTCAATTGATCAATTTAAATTCGACTTGAGATTGCATGAAATTCTATTTGGAAAGGTTAATGTGTTTTTGATTTCTACTCCTCTAATTGATTAGTTGCCTTACACCCTTTAAATTGAATAATTAATGCTTGTTGATTCATGTTTTTGAAATTTATTTTACAAGGAAACAGTTCCCGCAATTAGCATTTTAACTTAGTATTTGCAGTTAATGACTTTTTCAAACAAAACATAATTATGAAAGAAAAATTGTTCTCAAATTTGTGATCCTCAGGAATCTGAATATGTTAATGTTTCTTTTTAACATATTAAATCAATCTTTCCAGTGCATTTTATTTTTAACTTTAGTATCTGTTGTTGATATTATTATATTATGGTTGATATGTAGTTGATATTAATTATAATTTTTGGAAAAAAAATTCAAAAATTATTGATAATAATTGATTATTTCTGATAATAATTGTATACATAAATTGTCTTTATTAATATATTTTATTAAATTATCAAACAACTAATAAGTTAACTGCAATTAAAAAAAGTTTTATTTCGAATCATTAGTTTAAATTGCAGGGTTTTTTTTTCGAACTTTGATTCTTACTGTACTATTTTGTATGGTATCATATTAAAACATATAAATTTTAAACTCATTATCTGCTAATTTTCAAATTGAAGTTAAAAGGATTTTAATCAAATTTAAATGAATTTCTTTGAATAAATAATCAAAAATTTAGATTTTTTTTCTTCATGTTTATGTTTTATACAAGCCATAAAATAGCATATGGTTTAAAAGCATCCCCTAAATAGCTTTTTCTTCTTCATATAAATTATATATATTAAGGTCCTATATAATAATATCTTATCATAAATAATTATAAGGAATCTTAAGATATGTGTTGTAAAGCTTAAGTCTTAGTTTGAGTCCTGAATCAGTAAAACATTATAAAAATAAATATACAGTCAAACCCCGCTATAGTGAACATGGTTTATAGTGAACTCCCGGATATAGTGAACCAAATGTTCGGTCCCTTGCCTTGCTATACACGCATAATGTCATTTTTTGTGGATATAGTGAACCAAAAAAGTGAGGAAGTTGGATATAATGAACTTTTTTCTGTCTTCGACTGATTTTTTTCTTCATTTTTTTGATATTTTCAGGGAATATAAACTATCCAAATCTGAAGTTTGTAACATATGGAAAAATAGGCAATTAATAATTTCTGCTCATGAAAAAAATTTAGATGTCAGAATAAGTTGAGAAAAGCAGATCACAAGGATGATGAAGAAGCATTACTGAAGTGGTTCACCATTCGAAAAAGCCGCAATTTTCCTGTATCTGGACAAATGTGGATGAATTTGCTAAATGTTTTTATGAGACTACTTTCATGTGCTCGAATGGCTGGTTAGACAGGTTTAAAAAACGGAATAACAGAAATTCAGGAATAATTATCTGAGAATCGGGAAGTGTTTCCATAACTGATGTTGAGGATTGCTCATCAGCTAAAGATTACAAATTTTTTTTTTTAAGCAAGACGAGTAATGAAAAATAACACATTTTTTGCTACTACATAATATTTTTCAGTCATTTATTTGAATAATGTGCAATAAAAGGGAGGAGTTTGGGAACCATTAGGCAAATTATCTGCGTAACGGATATAGTGAACCGAAATTTCGGTCCCTTGAAGGCTCACTATAGCTTATCTGAACTGATATAGTGAAGCTGTTACAGATACAATTAATAGATTTGGGATGGATTAAATTTAAATGCAAATGTTTTTTTCTGGAAATTACTGTTAAAGCCAATAGAATAATGGATATTAACAAGTTTGCATTCTTTATTTTGGCAAGTTTTAAAGAATGGTATGTAGCCTTGGTTACTGAGTCGCCTCACTATTTATTTTTCGTTTACAACAAAATTTTCATTCCATTATACAAGCTTTATGATATCTTATTGTACTTCATACTATAAAATTAATAATTTAAAAAAAAAAATACACAATTTTGAAAAATCTTGTTGCCAAAATTTTAATCTATTAAATAGAAATGCCTTATATATTTTTCTTATTATCATAATTAAATGTACCATATCAATGATTTCAGATTATTTTCTTGAAGAAAACAGTGATTTCCTATGAAGTCCCTAGGAAAATCATAAAACTCTAATTGTAACTGTCCAGCCTTTTTTTAACCTTTTTTTTAAAAACTGAAATTTTAATTGCAGTTCATTTACTTGACTTATAAATTTGTTATTTTTTCCTTAGACCTGACATTGTTTAAATCTTAGATAAGGTATGCTTTTTTTCAAATTTGAAATCCCTTTGTGTATGAACTTAATACTTTTATTTATTCAATAATTAGCACAACTCTTTTGTTTTGAACTTCATATTTTGAGTTCAAAACAATAAAAAATCAAAATTTATTTTATCCCCAATTCTCTTATCACACATATCAAAGTTCAACTTTAATATTATTATAATTTTGGAAATCTTTTTTAATGAAATATCAATAGAATAAAAAACATATTACTTAGCACAAACTAATGCATAATGTTACGCATAATTGGTTTCAGACTGCATCACTGGAGAAAGTAATGTCTCTGTCCGAAACCCCCGATTCAGCTTGGACTTCAAATCTTTATTTTATTTGGAAAATAAAGTTGGTGGTCCTCATTTCAGTGGATCAAAGCTTAAAAAGGTATAATTATTTCTTATTGTTTCTTTCTTTAAAGGGAAGCACCAGGGCAGGTTCTTTAAAGGGAACTTAGTTTGTTATTTGTTCATAAGTTTTTTTTCACATGAATTTAATAGTTGTGTAGCCCTTTTTTGCTGATGCTTGGTTATTATGCAAAATTAGACATTTTTCAGCTTCTTAAAGTGACACTGCTGGTGCAAAATTTTGTTTTTTACCTTTTTATAATAACTTACATCATCAGCATTGGCTCTACAGCCTTATGTAGGCCCAAGTTTTCTTCAAACGGTGACCCTTTTTACAGATATTGACTTTAAATTTTTAAGGTGTTGTTTTCCAACATCGTTTCAAAATCTTTCCTCTCGAAGACTGACAAGACTTTTCCTTCCTTTTCCATCAAAATGTCACCATCTTGTTTGAAGCACAAATGAAGAAAGCTTTTAACAGCACCTTAAATAGTTGAATTTTAGCCCATCTATTAACTGAGATTTTGAAAAATCTTAAACCAAAAAAAAAAAAAAAAAACANAAAAATTCAATCGGTGACTTGCTACAATGACCCTGTTTCTTAATTCCGGATAATTATTTTGATTGTCTACCTCAGATTTGAAAAAGTCATAATTGTTTTTACAAATATATATTTAAGATATAGCCTCAAACATTTCTAAAGAGTTTTTATTCTTACTCCAGTACATATACTGATTTTATGTAGATCATGATCTTATTTAAAGAAATAATTCTTTAATCATTTTATTGCCTGTGTTTTGATTATAAGATAAATTTATTGATTTTGCCATGTCACATAAAAAATGGTTTAAAACGATTTCTCATTAATGTCTGTGTATTCTTATTTTACAAAAGCATATTATAACACTGAGTTAAAATGAGCTTATACAATCTTTAAATGGTGCTTTCTTAAAACTATTCTTGTTTTCCAAAATATTTTTGATAACTTTCCTCTAGGAGACGGACAAGACTTTTTCTTCCTTCTTCATCAAAATATCTCCGTCTCTTTTGAAGCACAAATTAAGGTGATTTTAACAGTATCTTGTATTGTAGTATTTTAGTCCATCTTTTCATCAAATGAGATTTAAATAAAGATCTTACACCAGAAAGAAATCAATCAATGATTTTCTGCAATGAATCTTTTCCTTATTTCTGGATAATTATTTTGATTGCCTACCTCAGATTTAAAAAAGTTGTAAATTTAATTTTTTTACAGATATAAATTTAAAAGATATGGCCTAAAGCGTTTCTAGAGCGTTTTCCTTCTTACACCTTACGTACTAAGCTTACACAGATCATGATTTTATTAAAAGAAATAATTTTTTAATACATTTTTTGCCTGTATTTTGCTTATAAGGCATATTTTGCTGTATAACATTAAAAAAAATTTCATAACAATTTCTCATTTATGTCTGTGCGTTCTTATTTGACAAAGGCATATTATAGCCTTGGATTGAAGTAAGCTCTTGCAATCTTTAGTGTTTTCTCAAAACAATGTTTTTCATAATTGCTGGCATAATAACATCAATTTGCATTTTATATAAATTTTAAAGTATATATATTACTAATTTAGCTACCAGTGCACACAGATTTATGTTTTTTATTATGTATGTAGTTTTTTAATTTTTTTTTGCAGAAAGCCATAAACTTTTTGTTTATCTATTAATAAAATGCTTTAAAAAACGCACAACATGTAACAGAAACAATATTAGTAAAGGTATTGTATATACTGTAAATGTTTAATCAAATAATTTGAAATCTGAAGATATGTCAATAAATATGAAAATTCTTAAAAAAATGTTTCCTGATATGTATACTATAAAATTATTTTTTAAACAAATTACAATAAATGAATTTTTTTGAAAATCTAATAGTGGTTTGCAGTTTTCAATGCAGAATTTATAATTTGAATTTTTGTTTTTTGTCCAATATAAATATATTATGTATAGTCTTTAAAAAGCAGCTGATTTTTTTTTTCTTTCAGTATGATTGGGAAAGTAAACAAATTTCTACTGTGATAGACCTTGTTGATAGCCCTGGAAGTAAGAATGTATATTTCATTTACTGAGGCAACTTAAATAACTTAAATTTTATTTATAATTTATCTTAAGTTCTAAAACTTTTATGTTTGTTAAGTCAAGTTTCGTATAGTTAAATGCATCTCTTGATAATAATTCATGGGTGTCTATTTAAATTTTTATTCTGATGTTGAAATATTACATCCTGTATTGGAGGACATCCAGCATATAAGAGATGGTGGTTCTATATTTATGTATAGTAACTCTCAATTTTCCGTGCTTTTATTGGTGTTGCTTTATCTATCAGTATTATCTTCATGTGTTCTTAATTGATACACTACTTGTATTATTCTATTAGAATTATTATTTTCTCCGGAAATTACAGTTGGCGCTCGATATAATGACCTCTCATTGTCCAAACGAAAGCGAGAGTTATAACCTGAGATCTCTCTATATATAAAATTAGTGCAAATATTTACTTATATTTTATGAATACTGTACTTATTTTGACAAAAACATGCTACATTTTAAATAACATTAGAAAACTGACTATTATTCAGTTATTTTATCTCAATAAAATATAAGTATTTTTTAATATAGTGCATTTAGTACAGCGGTTTTAGTAAAGGTTAAAAATACTTTAAAATGTTTCAAATAACATCATTTAATGTTACTTAAACTTTAGCCAATCATTCAGTGCTTTTTCTAGATTTGAATTTTTACTTCACAAGAGTGATAGCATGAATTGCTATTCTATTTTTAATTATTCAAGCAAAGTGCTTTTTGAAATTTTGAATAATTTAGCCATTTGTGATTTTGATGTTTTTCTTCAATCCACTTTCTTTAAAAATTTTAATATCCACTCTAAGCATGTAACATCACAAAGGTTAGGAGCAGCTATTTTCTCTAAATTACATACTTGCAGAGAACTAAGCAAAACTAAAATCCAGAAGAATGCAATTAATACTACATGTTTTAACTTCAAAATAAACCACCTCTTACAACACTTCACAGAAAGAGAGAATACAATTTTCAAACATGAAAACTATTGAACCCTTTGAAAAGAAATTTTAAAAGGTTTTAATTGTATAGGAAACCCTGATTTCTAAATGATGGGGCCAATATATACTTTCAATTTTTAATAATGGTAAATAATCCATATTTTAGAATTTTCTTTTGCCCTAAATTACACCCAAGACCTCCCAGGTTAGGAATCTCAGTCACTCTTTCTTCATTCATCTTAAAATTTTAGATGCCTCATGTTCATTGATTTGCATCCATAAAAGAAACAGAGGTTTGAATAGTTTTCTTGAGACTTGTCAAAGGTAAAATGTTAATTTTTAAAGTGTGGAAATTTCTAACTCCTGTTTTTAGAATGATTATCTGGGAATTGAAAAAAAATTTAACATAATTTTGGTCACCATAGTGGAATGAACAGCTCAGACATTTTAATGAGAGTTAGAATTACATTGCATACTTGGAACAACGAACGGGGCTACAGCGATCTTTAATGAAAGGGTCGTAGTAATGGTAAGTCATACTGAAGAGCATAGACTTTACAATCAAACTCGGGAAATAGTTTACAAAGTATGAACCCTTCTTTCACCAGGATTATAACTTTCTATCCAAACTTCTTGATATTTTTTTGTCTACGTTAGACAAAGAACTTAATGGAAAAAGGATGTGACGTGTTTTAAAAAATTGAGTTTTCTATAATTTCAGATGAAGACAGTTTGATCTTTATAATAAACATTATAGATTTATTTGGTCAAGTCATTAACTTTCGGAGATCTCGGTGAATGAAGGTACTGACTATCTTTGAATATTTTTGGTGTGGACGAACCTTCCAAGTGCATTTGGCAATAGTTGATGAGTAACAGTAGAAAAGTAACAGTATCTGCATATTATAACATCAAAAGTGCATATGCAATCACGCAAATAGTTTAAATGAATTTTAAGGATTTTCAGATTCTGTTGATTAGAAGATAATAGACAAAAAATAAATACATATTCTTAATTCACTTTTATCGCTGTGGTAACTAAAATTTGTGTAATGCACATTATCCACTCAGCTCTCCCATTTATTGTATCATTAGAATTCCTTGCGTTGAATATGTAATAACATGTGTTTAACACGTTTTACATTGCAACTTTTTCAGCCAAATTTAAAGTTTCTATTTTTATAAAATAATTAGAATGAATTTTAAAGTTTTTTTTTTTTTCAGTTGCAGATTTTCCTGGTTTATATGTAACTTCAGTGCCTCAAAGATGTTGGTTTAAAAATAATTTATTTTTAACTAGTCAATGGCGAAGCTTTCTTGTGAGTACAAAACCTATATTTAAAATAAAAATATATTCTTTTTGTCATAATACCTGTATACAAGTGCAATTACTAAGTAAATCTTAATAATTTGAGATTTTATTTCCTATTGCTTCAAACTTTAGATAACAGTTGGAAGTGTCTGTTAAAAAACAAATTTGCATGAATTTTTCTCCTAAAATATTCTAATGGTTATAAAAATAACCATACATTGCTTTTCTTAATATTTAAAATACATTGTTTTTATTTTCAAATCATATAGGTTTTTGTTACTTACATTAGAAGTACAGTAGGGAACCGATTATCCGGAACGATCAGGACCATCGCTATTCCGGATAACTGATTTACAATCAATGAACTGATTTACAATGTACAACTTAAAAAAAAATGTTTGGAAATAATCTTAAAAAGAAGAAAAAACGATTAAATAATACACTAATGATTATTTCCAAAATGATGGTAAGGTAATTACACTAATGATTATTTCCACAATGATGGTAAGGTGACATCTTTCAAAAAAGAAAGAAAAATCCTAAAATCTTATGAGGAAAATCATCATCAAATTAATGTTTTTTAAATTATCTCACATGGTGTGTTTATTTTGTTTATAGTAATTTTTTTGAAATATATTCGATGGATGTATAATATGCAAAATCAGCAGTAATTGAAATGAAGGAAAAAATTTTTTAACATATTGAGAGGCAAAGTTCATGGGAAATTGATACTAGCTAATTCATTTAGGAGAAACATAAAAAAAAACAGGCCGGGATAGCTTGGTTGGTAGGACACTGGCCCCATATCTAAGAGTTCATGGGTTCGATTCCCGCCGGCCGAAAGTAAATGGCGTGTGGCCCCGTGTAGTAAATGGTGACTGATGCACGTTAAATCTGTCGAGTCACAAAGTCCTCCATGTTCCCATAACAAATCAATACCTCTGGGGGTACTGATCCAGGAGTTTCCTTGTCTTCTGGATTGGTTCAAAATTACAAAGCTACCGAGTTGAACATTAGTAGTCATAAACCCGAAATCGGGTCAGCTGTTCTACGATGGATATAAAATAAAATAAAACATGAAAAATCACTTTATTATTATTGATACCAATGATACTTAATTAGTTTTAATTTATGTGTAGTGAAATAAAAAGAAAACGTTTTATGTACATTTATAGAATGAAAATACTTATTTGTTCAGAAGAACCATAAAAAAACATCTTGCTATTATTGACACCAATAATGTTTAACTTAAGTAACGTGTATTAATTTTAACAAAAATAATCTATAGTACTAAAATCAAAGTTAATGGGAAAAGATGCTTATTTGTTTCGCATTTATATAAAATATTAAATGCAAAACCATTGTATTAATTTTAACAAAAATAATCCATAGTACTAAAATCAAAGTTAATGGGAAAAGATGCTTATTTGTTTCGCATTTATATAAAATATTAAATGCAAAACCATTGTATTATTATAATTGTACATTGTAATGTGTATTAATTTTAACAAAAATAATCTATAGTACTAAAATCAAAATTAATGGGAAAAGATGCTTATTTTTTTCACATTTACATAAAATGTTAAATGCAAAACTATTTCTGAAATATTTTATAGATATTTAATTATTATTTCCAATTTAAAAAACTCAAATTATATGTTTTTAATAGTTTACTTGTTTTTTACGTTTTCTTTATTTATTTAATTTTTGCTGGTATTTATTTTCATAAAAACAATTTTCAAAAACAATAAATTTTACTTTGTTGATTCTCTGTCAGCTTTTCAATATTTAATTTTTACACATGCATAATGTTAAAGATAAATTAAACAAAAATAAAAACATTCATTTAATTTATTACCTCCAAATTTTATGTTAACAACAGTTTATTTAAATACTTTTTGTCAATATTTTAATTCAAACATATGTATTCTAGTCCATACTTTGTATTGATACTGATAATGGAACAATCCAAAGAATAGAGCCAAAAGTACTCTCTCACCCAGAAGGTGTGGGTTAGTATCTCTTGCATACCTCCTTTTTCGTGATTAATTTAGATTTTTGTCACACAATTAAAATAGATATTTATGTAATTGTTCTAAGAATTTTATTTTTTCTACTTTTTAAATTGATGTAAATAAGGTTTTAAAAAATTTATTGTACTAATCAATGGTTCTAAAAATTGAAAAAACTATTGAATCATATATGTGGTATTAATACCACATATGAATATTTGTTTATGACATATATATGCACTTATACCTTATTGCATATAACCTTGGCAAATCAGTATACATGTGTTCCCCGTGGCAGAATCAGGGTGACATTGTCGCAGAACATTACAAAGATCTTGCAGAAAGATTTTTCTTTTGAAAAGTAAAAAATTGTAGTTTTTTTTGCACAGAAATTGTCATGTAATTTTTAAATCTTACGTTTAGATAAACACTTTTTGATGCACTAAATTTATGCCGATTCGCATCGTAAATTGATGTAATTTTTTTATTTAATTTTCGGCAGTTACTAATATTATTTTTATATGGTTTTTAAATATTCTTATATATTTCAAACAATATGGAAAATTCGAATTGTGCATTTGAATACTTATTTTTTAAGGCTATGATTCTATCGAAATTTTGGCAGTTATTGCCATTGATTTCTCCATAGTTTTTAAATCCGATATTTTTTTATGCGATATTTATTACAACAACCTTATCTCGAAACGAAACATGCATTTGAGATCTATTTTTGAGGAGTCCAATTCGCGTGATTTTGTTGTCTATCTTTTTTTCGGATTTCATGATATTTATTGTGAAGATTATTTACGAATTGCGAAGAAGGAAATAATGAGTGAGTTTTCCCCCAACGTAAAGCAACAAAAGCATAATATAAGAATGAAAAGGTTTTACATTTTCAATTAAAAATTATAATAATTTTTTGTTGTTGCTGTAAGCACAGCGCTTTTGTTATTTTAAATTAGTAACGTATATGTTTTGCTATTATTAAAAGTATCTCGCAGAAAGATATTAGTGCTAGAGTTTTTCGCAGATGTTAAATATTTGGCAATCAATATCATTATATTAATTGAATATGTTAAATTTTCCATTAATATGTTTAAAATAACAATTTTATAAGCATGAAAAGCAAGTTACTGCTTATACTTCTGTTAATTTTCATAATCTTATTATTTTTAGAAGACTCTTTTGGTACAAGTACAGTTTTCAGCATCAATGAAAATTTCATCCTTGCTGAATTTTCTTCACCTAATATTGAACCTTGTTTGGTATGCTCTTCCAATTTAATTATTGATTATAAATTTTCTTGACTTTCTCTTTGTGATCATAATTATTTTTATATGTTTTTTTGTATATTGATTTATTATTTATCCTGTTGTTTTATACAAATAAATTCAATTAAGAATTTACTATTTAGGTTATTGGCAAAATAAGCAAGGGTGAAAACATTTCTGTTAGTTGGAAATATCTGGATTCTAATAAACCCATAAAGCACCCTGACATTGAATGGAAAGTTGTCCAAATAAATGCTGAAAAAAGTAGGTAAAAAAATATGGGAAATAATTCTTAAATTAGCTTTAAAAATTTTTTGTTTAAAGAACAAAAAATTATTTTGATGATATATTTTCATTAACCCTTTCAGAGGTTGTAGGATTAAAACTGCCCCACTTATTTTAGGCAATAATATAAACCCTTAAAATTTTAACAGTTTTATCTCTTAAGTATGTAATTAACCATTTTTTTCTTTTTTAAAAAATGTTTAAAAAAGAAAATTGCTTTGTTGTGGATTATCTATAACAAAAATAGAAATAGATTAATCTTTCTTTAACCTGAACACCTCCATAAATAAGAATATAATAATTTGTAGGGCAGAAACAGAAAAAAGAGAATAGTTAGCTAAATGATTTAATAGACAAAAAGTGTATACCAGTTAAATAACAGAGTATTTTGCAGATAAAACAGCATACATTCTCAAATCCAAACACAAAAACTAATGATCAAATTGTTCTTAAATCAATAAAAAGTTAAAGAAAATTAGGCCCTAATAATTTTCACATCCTACCACTCTGGAATCTCTACTGGTAATTGTTACAATTCATGAACCAAGATGTTGTAAATAGTGGCATGTCAAAATAAATAGTCACTGGGGTTCAATTTTTGAGGGGGACTAAATCAAAAAAATCAGTTCTCTAAATTTCCCATATAAAAAAAATTATTCTTCAATTTGCTAAACATCTTCTAAAAAATTATAATATCTTTCTTGATTTAACTTTTTATGAGCATAAATTCATGATAATTAATGAAAGTTTTCTTTATTTGTCTGAAATGTTTAGGGGGACTTAAGAGATTTCTAATTATTAAGGAGACATATACTTCACTGTCCCCCAAAAATGAATTCTTTTCTTTATTTCCTGGCCGACATGAACATAAAATAAATATTATTAGCAGCAGCAGTCAGTTGTTTGCTAAAGGTGTCATGGTGGTTAAGGCTCCACAACATTGTGCATAGACCGCTTTTACTTCTCAGATTCTGTTGGTGACCCTGGTAATGAAGTGGCAGATAGCCTAGCTAAAAGGGGTACCTCTGAGGTTGCAACATCTGACTACCTCATTACCTATCAAGAGATTTTCTCTCTGAGGAAATAAAAGCTGCGACAGGCAACTATGGTTAACCCCTCCTGTTCTCCACTGGTTGGGCAGAGAAAGTGGTGGTGCTCTAGAATTTATAGGTAATTGATCGAATCAAACGGCAGTTTCTTGATTCACCAGTGGCCATTTAAAATTCTTAACTTTCAATTTTAGGCTCAAAGTCTTCCCATCATGTTGCAAAAGCAATTTAGAACCAGCTTCCCCCGAACACATCCTCGATATTCTGGAATTTCCCTTAGAAGATATTCTCTTGCAACCAATTTTGACTCATGGATCTGATGTAGCTGAGGCTATAATGGGAATTATTGGAAGCAATTGTTAATCAAGTTTTAAAAGTAAAAATTATATTTTCGTTTTCTTTAAGAAAATGATAATGAGTATTTTCTGCCAAATCAATTAAAAATATAGGATTATTTTTTTTAAAAATGGAATTTATAGAAATAGGACAAAATTTGATGATGATAAAGTGAAAAATAAGTAAAGATATGAATAGAGATTTTTGCAAAAAGATATGAGGTTAGATGTTATTTTTGTTTTGTTTGCCTTAAAAAAAGGGAAAATGAAGAAAATAGATGTATCTTTTTAGAACAAGTAATCAAGTTATTGATATAATATATGTGAATCATTCTCGTTTAAAATGATCTATAAATTTCTGATCATATAAATAGGCTAAAAAATAGGTTCAGTCTTGAAATTTTTTTAGAGTGGCACCCATAAACAACAACATTTTCTCAGATTAGCTGCTACCTATCAGTGTGATACTAGATAGGCTTTAAGCCCCCACTTTGAGCAGATATCTTGTCTTATATTGTTCCTTTGGGGTTTTCTCTCTATCCCTCTGTATGTATGTTTGATTAAATGTTCTATTTACACGCATAGTTATAGAAAACAGTGACTAGGAATTATGCAATAGCAATGTGTAGTTGGAAATTTACAGTTGAAAAAAGTGATTTTCTTTTGCAATTCCTTGCATTAAGAAACTAGTAATGAAGCTTTTAATTTTTTTTATGCATAAAACTGTTGTGGAAATTTAATTTACAAGGTCTGGCTATTAATTTCCAGGACTCATAGAATAATTCAGAAGAAAATAAAATTAAACGCATAGCCATTTAATATTATTCGAAGTAATCCTCATCAGCCGTAATGCACGTCTGTGCTCGGCTGTACAAATTTCGGAAAGAAGTTTTAAAGTCCTCTTTCGGGAATGCTCTTTAATAGTGACGTTACAGTCTTCTTGATGGCTTCGACATCTTGAAATCTTGTCCCCTTCAGCGAATTTTTCAGCTTAGGTAACAGTCTGCGGGTGCTAGGTCTGGAGAGTATGGTGGATGCTGCATCTTAACGACACCATGTTGGGTTAAGAATAGCCTCACAGGCAGCGCAATGTGTGGAGGCGAACTTTTTCAATTGCTTCGGGCGTGCGTAACGACTGCGGCCAACCTGTGTGTGGATCATTTTCCACGCTTTCGCGCAGTCCCGAAAGCTTTTAAACCATTAAAAAGTTCTTGAGCGACATAATGCTTCCTCGTCGTAAACTTGTTTTAACAATTTGTAGGTTTCCGCAGCTGTCTTGCCCAATTTGAAGCAACATTTAATGTTTATTCTTGCTCCATTTTCACTTCGACAACAGGAATTTAAGAGCTACGTTTTAATGCGCCTTTCTACGAGAACCACTTGCATGAGTATGGTGCCGATTGCACTGCACATGCGCAAGAAAGCATTCTTCAATATGCAATCATTAGCGCCATCTTCCGGCTTTTCGTTCTCCTACAGTTACGTCAGTCCTGGAAATTAATAGCCGGACCTTGTATTATGTAATAAGCAATTTTTTTTCTTCTATAGCTGAGCACTGTTTTGAAGCCATTATAACTACACCTGCTAATAAGCAAAATATATCATCAGCTATCATCAGACCACATGGTATATTATACACATTAATATTTTTCAAACAACTTTTTCAACTTCAAATATATAATATTAAATCTGATCAGTATTGTACTTTCATGTATTTCAGGTGGTCCTCACTCCTCTTATACTCCGAATTTCTTAAAAGGCATAGTAGCTTTTACGAAGTTGAATTATGTTAATTGTTTAGGTGAGTTTTTGAGCTATTACCTATTTTTCCAATGGCAATTTATACTCATTGCAATTTACTGTTATTTTTAATCAGAGTTATTTTAAATAAATTGATTATATTTAATAATGTTTTCTTCATTGGTGTACTTTTAAACTCAATATAGCTTATTTCTTACAAGACTTTTAATTCCGAAAGCTTAGAGAATTATAAATTGCAGCTAACTCCCTATTATCTTGCTATATGTCTGTAGTCTTGTGTACATCAATAACTACAATAAATTTAATCTTTAAATTTTTATTTTTTTTAAAATTATTCTCGCATATAAATATTTTGTAAGTAAGAAATTCTGTCTCGTGATATTTAGTGAATTAGTCTGTCCTGTGATATTTTGTGTTTTTGTTTATTTTATTTTATGATAAATTCCTGCTTGACAATGACACATTACTAGTTATTAAAAAATAATTTGTGGTTTAACTCAAATAAATGCAAGGGATATAATTTAGACCATCTTGTGAGTCATTTGTGGAATTTGTTTGTCTAAAGTTATCACTTCAATTAATATTTTTAAATATTTTTAGTATTCTTTCTTTGGGGAATTCTGTTCCTCAGTATTTTGTTTCTCAAAGTAATGATCTTTTGATCTCATAGTATGGCTATAACATGATTTTTTTTTATTCTACGCAACAATAATTTCCTTTGACATTCACGAAATATTTTTAAGAAATTTCAAATTACAAATAAATAAGATGTGGTTTAACACTATAAAACATATACAAGTGACATCTTTTAAGAATTTTGCAAATTTTTTTTCCTTAACCCACTGCGTGAAAAGACCTTATTAATGAAGCTTTGTTACATATTTTAGTATTGTTTTCATGTTCATTGTAAATAAAAATAATTCTCATTTAACAGTTAATTATCGAGGTTCAGTGGGATTTGGGGAAAATAGCATCCATTCTTTACCTGGTAATGTCGGCAAGCACGATGTTGAAGAAGTTCAGGTCAGTTTTTCTTTTCATTTTTATTTCTCCTTTCAAATAATGTTATTTTCTGTTTCATTAACAAAAAGAGTCTTCTTCAATTTGTCTTGAAACAACAAAGCACAATACCATTATTTTTTTATGTAAAAATTAGCTTCAAATATATTGAAATATTTTATGCTATGAAATATTGTTGTAAAAATTTTGAAAATCATTCTTAAATTAACCTTTTTTTGCTGAAATATTTTTAATTCTTTCATATATAGCAAATTGCTGAGTGGATAAAAAATCAATCTGATTTTACAATCAAAAATAGTTTTGTCATTGGTGGCTCACATGGTGGATTTCTTGGTGCACATTTGGTGGGGCAGTATCCAGTATGTTAAGTTATATTTCTATTCTTTTTATTAAAATTATTTGTTTTATTCTTATTTAGTATATATATATATAATATATTATTAAAGTTCACTTTGATCATTGTTATGAGATTTTTTTTTAATAAAGTTACAATGAAATTAAGTTTTTAAACTTCATTGCAACTTTATCATTTGAAAACAAAAATTACTTTTTTCAATATCTAGTTTATCATTTTTTGTTGAAATATTAGAATTGTCACCTTTTCTGATGAATATTTTCGAAAATGCAAACATATTTTCTGATGAATATTTTAAGAAATTTTTATTCCAGGTAGAATTTAATAATAGGTATGTAATAATTGTAAATCAAAAAAGTATTCAAATTAATGTTTTATTTATATATAATATTTAAAATAGTGCTATTTTGTAAAAAAAAAAGTTTATCTTATCTGCTCATGCTTCATAAAATTGTACATTCTATTTTTTTAGATTATATTCATTTACATATATCTTCATTCTCTTTTTTTCTTTTTTCTTTTTTGTAATTTTGTCTTTATATTTTTTGTAATTTATATTTTGTAAAATAAATTGATTTTAATTAATTTTTTTAGGACTTTTATAAAGGTGCTGTTCTTTTGAATCCTGTTGTTGATATTGCAGGTACATCTTTAAAATATTCGAAAAATTAAAGTTTTTATTTTCAAGTTTATATAATATGTAAAGCCATTGCCTAGAGATGGGATGGAAACAGGTTTAAAGAAAAGGAAAGAAGACATCAATCTTTATTTATCCATTATTATCAGAGAGCAATCATCCAAGTTGCACACAATCAAAGTGCTCCAGAATAAAAATTAGGGAAAATCTTGCAAAAAAATCCCGATGTTTTGTTAAATCTTATGGAAACCTGAGTGATTACAATTGGTCCATTAAATAGGTTGAGGGAATAATATGATTCTCCTAGTTCTGTTTAAAGGAAGACTATAAAATGTTAACTTATGCATGCTTGAGATCTAAATATAGAATACAAAAAGAGGAACTGAATAATTAAGTATGAGAAAACGACTAATTGTGAATAATAAATTAAGAAGAAGAATTTAAATTAAGTTATAACATGAAAAGACTACTTGAAGCTTTTTATGTTAAATCTTCCCCCCCTGAAATTTTTAACGACCGCATAAAATATTTTAAAAAATGTATCTATTTGCAATACTTTCCCTGTGTTGGAAGTGCAGTTAACATGAAAAGAATAAAATTTGATATCTTAACATACAATCAATATATAAAAGTAATATGAATTATTAAAAACACACTTTTGTAAACGTGATAAAAATTTAACCAATTTAGTCCACAATTTGCAGCAGATAAATGTTTGTAGGCCTACTTTGCAAATAAATGAATTTTTTTAAAATAAAAAAACTTTTAATAGTTTATCCGTGTCTTTGTCTGTTCAGCTCAAAGTCATTTGTTTACATTTCTTATGATAGTCTTTCACCAATAAATGCATTCCCTACTTCATCCATTTGACTTTCAATGCTTTCACTTAAAATTTCAAATTCCTACTGGCTCTTTAAAGGTGCAATTATTCCAAAATATGAAAAAAGCAGTTGAAAAAAATTCAGTCTGATGTTAGACTTCAGTATTGTTTATTTGTTTAAAAAAAATAACACTGTGATTTTTATTCTAAAGTTTAAGTGCGAAAAATATGTTTAGTTTTCAATAAATTAAGAAGAATTTAAATTAAGCAATAAAGATTAGTTGGGAGCTTTTTAGGTTATATATTAATCCGTTTAGTGTGGCAGATATATTAATATACTTAATTGAACAAAATAAATTAAATCATTGTCATTTGCTTATAAATTAAAAAAAATATGTTTAATTTTGAGAAAAAAAATTTTTTTAATTATTTACTTTTAAAGCTTTCTTGTTTTGTTATCTTATTGTTTTAAATGAATGCAATAAAAGAATTATTTTATCATTGAATAACATTAATTTTTGCTTTAAGTCATGTAATGTTACTGTTTTTAAAATTCTTTTTTACATGTTTTAGGCATGACTGAGACAACTGATATCCCTGATTGGTAAGAAATTTTGGAGAAAGAAAAGTTGCATTTAAATTTAATTTCTGTCTTTTTTTTTCTTCCAATTTAAAAATTTATCATATTAGATTTTTAATTTGTTTTAGATTATACCTTATCATTATCTCTTAGATACTAGAACCTGGTTTGAGGGGCAAAACAAAGTTTCAAAGATAACATTACTTAGTTTAAGTTGAACTGTAGAAAGATGAAGTTTTTATAGAAATTTCCCCTCTTCATCTTTCGTATGTTTTTTGATATTTTAAGCCTTTTGCATGACATTTTAATTTTCTGACCACCTCTCTGATGTGCGTTTTTACATACCTGCATTACTTTTTAAAAAATCTTAGATGTTGGCAATGCTTGATCATACAAACATGCTGTAGTTTTGTATTCTGTTAAAATATTTTTACAGAACTAGCCTGCACATGAGATATTTATCATGGAGGGGTATGCCTCTCATTTGTTTTGAGTTTTTAGGATAAATTTCATTATTTACATTTGAACACATTGTTTACCAGTGACAAGTTAACTAGTCTTTTTACATCCAAAAATTGTTCACCAATGACGAATTATTGCACTTGCATTGTCTAGTTAACTCGTCATTGACGTTTGGGCAGGAAATCAATATTTATAATTTTTTATTTTACACCCATATTCAATTATAAAATAATAGCATTTGCCATGACATAGTTTATGTGTAAAATTGCAGATCAACAAAGTGTAAATCTTACAAATACTCATTTATCAGAATCTTGCAAAATACCAATCAGAAGCATAACAACTAATCAATGTTCAATTTTTTCATCATTTATTTATGTTTCTTTTTATTATTATTTTGAAAGATTTGCTCTTGTTGTAATTTTTGAATATAATCATAATAAGCTGCGGTGAACCAGTTACCTTGCTAAACAGCAGGTTTGGCAAAAGTCATGATTTTATTAAAACAGTTTTTAAAAAATCAGATTTTTTTGTTGTTGTTTAAATCAGATTAGTTTACATTTACCAACCAAAATATCTGATAAGTAGACAGCGGATTATATGCACTAAAAAACAGACAAAATATGCATGCAAATATGCTCTAAAAAATTTGAATATATGCTCTTAAAACTAGAAATATGTATTTAAAATGGAAATTAAAAGTTCAACTTATTTAAATACTACTACCTACTTTTTCCAACAAACACAGCTAAAACATTTTTTTGTTAAAAGGAAGAAAATCAAAATATTTCTTACTTGAATCTACACATTTCTGATGAAAAAGCCTAAAACTGAAGTATGATAAATGAGAGAAGAAAAATCATCGCATTTTCCGGAAAGATTTAATTAAACTGAATAATTTTTGTTGCAATACACAACTAAGTGTTTTTCCAAATTTTCAAGGGTTAATTGATGTCGTCGGTCATCAAAGATCATTTTAAAAGCAGAAAATGACCTCTCCACGTCAACCGATGTTATTGAACAAAACTTGTACAATTTCGTACTCATTGGTTTTACTTTCTCTGGAAGTTCAGTTCCGTTTCCATTAAGAAAATCATTTATCTTCTTCACTGCTGCAAAACCCGAATTTTTGTTTTGAACGAAACACCATTTTTCTTTTACTTTCTTCCCAACTGAGTCTGGAAGAGCATTGATGCACTGTTGAATTTTTTCAATTTCGGATATGGCCTCAGCCAGTGGAAGACCTCGTGTTTCGACCTTTGTTAGTGCTCCACTTAAGAAAAGTGAGTGTCAATTATGGCCAAGTCCTTCTGCAAAGTGATATCCTGTAGTAATTCTTTTGTAACATAAACTGAAGAAGCACAGGAACTGTCAATTGCATCTACAACTGACTTTATTGCATCAAAATTATTAACGTAAAAACGTGCAGCTTCAATCCATGTACCCCACCTAGTTATCACAGGCTGTGGAGGTAAGGGCAAATCAGGATACATTTCTTTATACAATTTTATGCGCACAGGTGCCTTGAGAAAAACTTTCTTGATACTAGAAATCAAATCATTCACAGAGGAGAATACTTCTCGAACAGTCTCAGCCAGTCTGTGAACAGCATAAGCCAGACATGTAATATGAAGCATTCTGGGATAAAAAATTTCCAGTGCTGCTGCAGATTTGACTATATACGGAGCGGCATCACTGACAAAAATCAAAATATCTTTAGAACCATCTCTATCAGGTCATAATAATCTGATAGAATCATTGACAAACCTTGCTATGGTTGAATGATTGACTTTTTCAAGGGCTTTGCTTGCTAGAAGATTTGGTCAAGTAGGAATATTATCCATTTTTCCACAAATAAAATGAGCAATATAGCGACCGTCTCATCGACTTCAATCCATATAGGGCCATCTCCAATATCTCGTCGAATATTATCCAGTACTTCAATATATATCGGTTGAAGGTAGTTCTTTCTTAAAGTCGATTCATCGGGAATGATCTGATTGGTACAATATTTTTTTAAAAACTGTCTTAAGGTAGGATTATTTAACTTTTTAAAAGGAATATTGCTGCTTACTAAGGCTTTGCATAAATCACTAGAAAAATCACTTTCCTTTTTAGCTGCTTGAACAGGAATAGTTAATAAACTTTGAACAAATCCTTTTGTATTCTGCTTTTTCTTCGCGGAGTGAGCATTAGTCTTTATATGTTGATCTTTTTGGTACTTTTTTCACAGGAAATATGTTTTTGATAAATCACACAAAATACTATTTCCCCATCGGTCGTAAAGTCCTTCCCATAGTCCGAAATCCATGTCTTCATTAAATTTGATTTAGTCGACTTAATTTTTGGCATATTATAAAATTCCGCAGTCAAAAATAACATTCAAAGCTTCACTAACTACGTATTCAACTGATAGATGTCGAAACTATCTATCTATCGGATGGACTATCGAAATATGTTAGAATAGCAGCTCTCTCCGAAAATGTATTCACTCCACCTTTTAACTAATCAATCACAGGAAAGGGAGGTCATTTTCTACCTACCACAGAAGCCTTATTTTTCCCACACAGATTGACAATTATTTATTCCAGGAAAAGACATCCCTTCATAGAATATCTGACCATCCCTTTCTGAGGTTTCTATGACGAATGTCTGTTTGGGTGGGCCCTTTGTACCCCCCTTTCCGACACACACCTCATTTCTACATCTTTTTCACGTGATTGCAATCACCCCCAGCAACATCAATCCAGCTGACCCTTTCAGGTGATAAAGAA